AGCTTCATTATTCATAGGTGTGGTTTGGGCGTAACGTGAAATAAACCAATCAGAGCGTCATCTCACATTCCCTTTAAGAGCAGGTGTGCTTGTTCTAAAGCGGATTCCTATTATAACGGCGGATTTGCCAGGCGCGCGCCAGGAGCGGTTCACAGCCGAGGAGAGCAACGTTCTCGTCAGGGCCGTAAAACACAGAGAAGTGACATTGGGGATGGAGAAACCCACCCAAATTAACTTCTGTTAAACAGGCGTATGATAATTTGGGTAAATGTGTAAGCTACATGCTTTTATAATAAATTGTCTTTCTATCTATCTATCTATCTATCTATCTATCTATCTATCTATCTATCTATCTATCTATCTATCTATCTATCTATCTATCTATCTATCTATCTATCTATCTATCTATCTATCTATCTATCTATCTATCTATCTATCATAATAATGTATGATTTGCAAAAATGAAAACTGCTGCTTAGATGAGAGAATCAACGTGTATGCGCGTTGTGCACACGCTACATTGATTATGGCCAAGCATGCGCCCTTAAAATAGCATAATGAACAACGCGCAACGCGCCACTGACTTTAGACTAGTTTTTTCTGGTCAGTGGCGCAATTGTTTTATAGAACAGCAAAATAGCATGAGGGAAAGTTTGCGCCGGAACACGCCTCCTCTTTGCGCTGAACCGTCCCGGGGAAGTGTATTTCTTAGTTAACCGACGTGCGTCTGTGGAGGGAAAAGTCCGCTTTGCGCGGGTGCAAAATAGGAATGATACATGCGTCAGTGTACAAAGTCATTTGCGCCGAGTGCAAGATAGGGCCCATGAACTTCAACGGCGTGCTGAAAACAGAGCTGTTTTTGACCAGGTAAAATGAGTAGGGATGTCCAGATCCGATCACGTGGTTTCAGAATCGATCGGAATCGGAAGTTACCTCCTGATCAGGACTCGGATATATGTAAATTAGGGGTGTAACGGTACATGTATTCGTAATTATTGAACCGTTTCGGTAGGCTTCCTGTTCGGTACGCATACAAACCAAACGATTCCTAGGACCATTTTTCCTGCAGACAAAATCCGCGCTGGCACAACGTTGCGCAACATCAAATGGCAAACGTAATGAAAGCGGAACGAAACTGCGCTACTAATTTAACGGACCATTTATCAGTTCGGACCAGCAACATCTGTGCAGCGCGAGATCAAGCGACACTGTGCTAAGAGATCCAGTGAAGAAAACATTTGAATTCGCCACTGAAGTAATAACATTGCTGCGAGATCTAGTGAGAAGCATTCAAATTTCTCCGTTATTAACCGTAGATCTCTTAGATCAAACAGCGCTGACGTGGGAACCAGGAGAAACATTGTGCCGTGAATGAACATGGATTTAATGTTGCACTTTAAAACTCAAATATTATATAAATATATATTTAAATGTTATTTTTAATGTGATTACCAAAACATTATTTGTTCATCCTTCAAAGATTACCCCCATTTATAAACCTGAAAGTTTCAAGTTGTAGGAAGACTCAAACTTATTTAAAAATAGTTTTTCTTTTAAAGTCCCTGTAAAGGCAATTCTAAAAAAAAATTCTAAACCCATTATAAATGTTAGAAATGTATTGCTAAAACATATTACAAAGACTGTGAACTGTGAAGTACTGAATTGTGGAGTTAGACCGTTAAACAGTTTTTCACCATTGCTATTTTCCGGATTTTTTGGGCAGGGCTAAAACGGGGCTCGATGACGCACTGGAGCCCCTGAGCTCCTGGACACGTCCCTACTTGATGACGCACTAAGCCCACTGAGGCTGGCTCCTCCCCTAACAATAGAGCACATTCGCATCAGTTTGGCGCTCAATCGCGAGTTACTGTCAGTACAGTTTGCTAGCTAGCTATGCCTTCGACACGGAAATGCATAGGCTACTACCTGGATGCGATCATGTACAAAACAGATTGGTGTCTTTATTTAAATTTCCTGAAAACGATCACATCAAGAAGAGGTGGATTAATTTTGTTGAAGAGCCAACCTTGATGTAGAGCTGATCGAGGATCACCGCCAACACCCGCCTCTGTAGTGATCATTTTACACGTGATAGCTTTAGAAACTTTCGTCGGAGACAACTGGGATTCACTGATAATCCGCTGTTACTGGTGAATGGGGCCGAACCGACTATCTCCCGCCTCGGCCTTCATCTCCCCGTCCCGAAAGCAGTATTACCTAATATCACCGTCGGCTCGACTCGGCTGCTTTCCTGCGAGTGGGCGTGGTTTTAGCACAGCCGGCAGACACGCCCCTAGCGTTTGAGAGCAGAGAATACTGCTCATTTTTTCAAGATTTTGATAGCTTATTTTATGTACTTGCCGGCTTTTTTTATCATTCAAATTTGGCTGGGTGGCTAATAACACATTTTTCTGTGCTGTGACAACCTCAGAACACATACTTAATTTTGACTTTACAGGGACTTTAATAAATAGGAAATTTCTCTGGCATTTCTTTCTTTTTGCTGTATCTTATCGAACCGCAAATTTTGTGAACTGTTACACCCCTAATGTATTTATATATTCTCATTATTTTTTTATACACTTTTAAAACATTTTTATTTTTTGTTTACATGCCTGCCGGGTATTTTAAGTTGAGGTGCTATTTGTTTTTATATTAGACTTTTTCTATATTTACTGTTGCACTAAAGTCCAATAGTGAAGATTTTATGTTATTTATTACTTGATTGTTCAAGCAACCTCACAGAAGTGCTCTGTTTATTAACAGAGTTGTTGAATGTTAAAATAAGGTGAATTAAATAAAAAATAAGGAACATCCTGGATCTGTTTTTTCTCTCTTCTTTATTCTTTTTGTATGTATTATATAAGTATCGGATCGGGACTCGGTATCGGTAGATACTCAAAATCAAATGACTCAGACTCGGACTCGAGGGCAAAAAAACCCTGATCGGGACATCCCTAAAAATGAGTGTTTTGGGGGTAAAATACTAATGAGAATTTTTAATTAAAGTATATTACAAACTTTTAATTTAGACCCTAAAGAATCAAATTAACTTAATATATGACCACTTTAAAGTCAGGTGAATTCTAAATGGTTCATCAGCTGGAAAAAAAATCTTTCTAAAAGTGATTCCAAAGATAACGTTCCTCTGTCTCATTATTGTTATAGTTGTGATGTGGACTATTCTAATAGAATTAGAATGTTAATTAAACTTTATAGTTACAGTTATCATCCTTGTTTTGAATGGGCTTTAAATCATCCTCTTTTATTCAACGTGTTTACTGGCACGACAACGGGACAACCTGTCACTCACATGACATCACAGCAAACCACAACCATCCATCAATCCAAACAATTCTCAATGGACAAAATCAAGTCCTGTCCTATTAGAAAAAAATAATTAAATTTGACAGTTATCGTCCTTGCTTTTAAGGGCTTTAAATCATCCTCTTTCTCATATGTAATTTTGGGAAGTCTGATTCGTTTTAGTTAATCGTTTCAATAAACAACGATTCACTGATTTACTTACCTTGTGCAGCATTTAGCATCTATTTTATAGCTAAATGTTTAGCTAAACGCTGCTGTTCGTTACAATGTTTTCAAATATATTCTAGGTTTTTATTGTTGTTGTGCAGCATTTATTATTAAACTGATTAAGTTTAATGTAGTCACCCTAATCTGATTAAATTAGAAATGTTATAATCTACATATTTAAAAGATGTTCATTCCTTAATACATCCAATGGTTTTATGTTTTTTTTGTGTTAATAGCTTATTGTCTAGTTGACTACTTTAAAAAAAAAAAAACCTTGACTGTAGCTGGACTAAGTTGCTATGACTCGTTGAGCTGTGTCGATGTGAATTCGGACGATTCCCTGTTCTGTTCTATATAATCAATGTCAATAAAAAAATGCCAATAGAAAAGATGCAATGTTGAAATATAATCCTAAATATTTTAAACGAAGCTGAAAGTATTTCATTGGTTGCTGAAGTAAAAGCATAATCTGATCAGCCAAGATATTTATTAAACAAACATGGAAATGTGTAGAACTTTGTGAATGACTTGTGATACAATATTTTCTGAAATCTGCTGAGCTTTCCACTACGCACACACGATCAATATTTTAAATTGAGTCAATCAGCTCCTTGTGTTTCCTATTACATACGCAGGAGATCATTTAACACTGGTTATTTTCTATGTGGTATCTTGGAAACGATCGAATCTCACAATTCATAAATAAACGTTATTCTCTAGAAACTTGAGAGGCTCTGGCGTAAGAATTTAAGGCTATTAGTGGTGATTGCTGCATGGCAGACACGTGGCATTCTTGAGGATGGTTTAAATTGAATATCTTTTTATCCATCTTTATCTCTGTGGGGTTTTTTTTCTATGTGTTTGTGTTAGCTGCAGGGCACACTTGTATAATCAGAATTATTTTTTCTTTCTTTCAGGCCTTTCTTTTATGCCCTACTTTCACATCTTTTCCAGAATTTAGAGTTTTTCCACACATTTTTTTTTAAATCAAAACGGATCTCTGGGACCCAGCGGAGATTAAAACGCAAGTCCTTAATCCTCCCAGGAGACTTCCACATACATGTCTTAAACCACTGCATTCAGGATACATTTTTCGCAGAAAGAAAATACTTTTGGCCAATAGAGGATCTACACATCATGTGACCATCTGTTTGACCAACCAATGGCAGACAAGTTTTAAAGCAAGTTATTTTATTTGTACAGTTCTGTCTGGTTATGCTATAGGCACACAAATTACATACATTCACCTTTCAAAATCTGAATGAACTATTTGTAATTTATTATTAAAAACAGAATCGCTAGTGCATGATATCATGGCCAAATTTATTGCAGCGTCTGAAGTAATTTCACATGCTCAAAGCCTACACTAAATATTTTCTAGGGAATATCACAGTTATGCCCACTGGCTGTAACACCGTTTTTCTGTTTACGTTTACAGATTGTGAAAACCTGAGGTGTAAACTGACCTGTAGAGTTGGTGGGACTAGACGTCTGGTTCCATAGAATCAAAGTGCGAGCTAGGAAAGAAAAGAAAACCAATTACCACATAGATTTACAGTATGGGGTCATGTCTGCAATATGTGACTTTTAAATATGTATTTTTAAACATTATATTAAATACATACATACACAATATATACAGTATATATTATAAAATAAAAAACACATTTTAAATGAAGAAGAGTGACATGATAAAGTAAAATAAATGCTAAGCGCCACTTATCAATATTTCCTGTGCAGAAATATAAGTGCAGAGCTTCTTACACACAATACAATCTTATCCAGAACCTTTCTCCATTAATAGGTTTAATGATTTGCGACACCTTATATTGCTTGATGACTGGTGGATGATGTCGATCCTTGCTGAAAGTGTGACATTTACAAACACTCCCACATTCTCTCGTTCTTTCGTCTCAACACAAATTGCCTTCAGATTTAAATTGACAGCACATATTTCTTGGTTTCTCACTGACAAATGATCGAAGCCTACAGATGTCCCTAAGTAAATAAAACAAGGTATACAAAAAGTTGATCTTGGAGGTAGGGCTGTTTGTAATCTAATCTAATCAAATCTAATCTAATCTAATCTAATCTAATCTAATCTAATCTAATCGAATAATACACTGGGTATTATTTTTCAATGATTCTTTCTGTAGGTTATCATTAAACAAGTAGGTGGCAACAAGTATTTACGAGTGAGTCATTGAATCATTTACAACTGATTCATTGTATAACACAAAATCTGAATTCAGAACCGTATACGAGTATACTCCTCGTACTTTTACTATATCTTTTTATGACAGAAATAGTAATAGTATGCTAGTATGTGGTTCCGGATCCCAGCCTGTGTTCCCCTGGTTTTGTGTGGTTTTTTATGTTATTTCCTGTATCAGACGCTCACGTTCAACATTTCATTGACGTGACCACGTAATTGGGATCACTTTAGGGAGCCCTATCATCTTCGAGTGTCTACAGAACGAGCCAATGAACGTTAGCGTGCGTGAAATGCGTCCCGCACCCCGTCCCGCAGCGCGGGTATAAACAGGAAGCAGGCGCACGCACTCATTGTCTTTGATTTCGGAGCCGAGCTTCCTGTTCATCTCTGAATCTGCAGACTGCTGTTGTTCGTTGAAAACTCTACAGACAGTGTTGGTGTGACGGCGCGAGCAGCGAGTGGCCGCAAACATTTCTTTGTTCAAACAACTGCTGTTTTACAGCAAGAGAGCTTGTGTCAGTTCGGTGGGCATTTACCATCAGTGTACACAATACACAGCAGCCATTCCCTGGGTGCCTCAGCACTGTGAGAGTTCACAAAGAGCATATTTTCTTTCACAAAAAGAGCAACACAAGCGTGACCCTGTGTCCTTTTCAGGATGTCATTCCGCTTGTGCGTTTCTGGATGCGGCCGTTTCCTAGCGCCAGCAGACGGCAACAATAGCTGCCTCTCGTGTTTGGGCATTCAGCATGCTGAGGCAGCCTTTGTGAATAGTTCATGTTCCCATTGCGGGATGTCAGCATTGAGTTTGAGAATCACTTACCTCAAGGGAGGTGCAGTCCCCTTGCCTCTGCCCCGATCTAGTGCCTATTCTGGACCTCAGAAGGACCTCTTCTGGGACACCGAGAAGGTCGGGCTTGCGTGGAACACTCCACCACATCCCGAATCTTCTCGGTTGGACGATTGGTTTCTCGGGGCGGGTCGTGCTGGTTCTCCGCGCAACGCCCCGGTACCATTCTTTCCGGAAGTGCATGAGGATCTCACTAGGACGTGGACGGCGCCATATAGTGCCAGAAGACGTCCTAGTGGATCCGCCCTCCTCACCACCCTCGATGGCGGAGCAGCTAAGGGGTATGTGGATGTCTGCCGGTGGAGCGTACTGTGCGATGCAACTGTGTCCAGCGTCCGCTTCCTCCTGGCGGGGTAATCCACGCCTCCCGTCCAAGGCTTGTAAGTTTTTGTCCGGTACGGCAAAGGCTTACAGAGCCTTTGGACAGGCTGCTTCCGCCCTCCATGCCATGGCGCTCCTGCAGGTCCACCAGGCCCAGGCGCTCATGGACATACACAAGGGTGATTCTGACCGAGAGCTCCTCCGGGAGCTCCGTGCGGCAACTGACCTCGCCCTCTGGGCGACAAAAGAAACCGCATGTTCCGTCGCTCAGGCGATGTCCACCTTGGTGGTCCAGGAACGCCACCTTGGTTGGCTCAACCTGGCGGATATGAGGGACACCAATAAATATCGGTTCCTGGATGCCCCTCTTTCCCACGTAGGGTTATTCAGCGATGCGGTCAAGAACTTTGCCCAGCAGTTCTCGGTCGCTTCTTGCCATTTATATTCCAGGCCTGCTCAACCGTGCAGCCGACGAGCTCTCAGACCCTGTGCAAAGTTAGGGAGGATGAGGAGTAGGTGTTGCTTGTTGCGCTGTATCGGCCCAACCAGACCTGGATCCCGGAGCTAGTGCTACTCGCGACAGCCCCTCCCTGACCCATTCTTCTGAGAGAGGACCTGCTCTCTCAGAGACGCGGAGGTTCTAGGTGACCTACCCCAGGAGGTAGTTGACACCATCACTTCCGCTAGAGCCCCCTCTACGAGGCGCCTCTATGCGTTGAAGTCGAACCTGTTCGTTGAGTGGTGTTCTTCTCACCAGGAGAACACCTGAACTTGCTCAATCAGAGCTGTGCTTTCCTTCCTGCAAGATGGGTTGGAGCGAAGGCTGTCTTCCTCCACCCTTAAAGTGTATATTGCCGCTATCGCCGCACATCACGATGCAGTTGAGGGTAAGTCGCTGGGAAAGCACGACCTGATCGTCAGGTTCCTGAGCGGGGCAAGGATATTAAATCCGCCTCGCCCACTCTCTATAGCCTCTTGGGATTTGTCTCTGGTCCTTTCGGCTCTTCAGAGACCACCCTTTGAGCCTTTGCAATCAGCAAAGTTAAAAATTCTGCCTCCATCAAGAGGGTAGGTGACCTGCATGCATTTTCGGTCTACAAATCGTGCCTGGAATTCGGCCCGGCTAACTCTCACGTGATCCTGAGACCCTGGCCCGGATACAAGCCCAAGGTTCCTACCACTCCCTTCCGGGACCAGGTGGTGAACCTGCAAGCGCTGCCTTCAGAGGGCAGACCCAGCCCTGGCTTTTCTCTGTCCCGTTCGCGCTCTGCTCCTATACATGGACAGAACGCAAAGCCTCAGGACCTTAAACCAGCTCTTCACCTGTTACGGAGGCCACCAGAAGGGAAAGGCTGTCTCCAAGTAGAGGATGGCCCACTGGATGCCATCGCCTTGGCTTACGAAGCCCAAGACATGCCTTACCCGCCCAGTTGAGAGCCCACTCCCCTAGGAGTGTCGCTTCTTCCTGGGTGCTGGCACACACCGCCTCGCTGACAGATATCTGTAGAGCTGCGGGCTGGGCGACACCTAACACGTTCGCTAGGTTTTATAGCCTACGCATTGAGCCGGTTTCTTCCTGTGTGCTCGCTTCAACCAGCCAGTAACACTGAAGTTCCCGCTCTAGTGTCGGCTTGCTGCGCCATCTAATGCATAGATATGTACCCTGTAATTTTAAAAAAGCCTATACAGTATGTATTGGTACACAATTATTACAAAAAGGTACGCAGTGTATGTTCTCGCTAAATTGCTCCCAAATGTTAGATTTTTGTATCATAATAGTTGAATAAGTTCCCCTTAGTTCTATAATACTTACAGTATAAATATATATTTTTTATTCTCCTGGTTATTACCCCTTTATTCCCCAAACTTTACATATTGTTCCCTTATACTTGCATGTAAGTACTTTATAGGTACACTATAATTACATAAAGTTACACTGTAAAATCACTTTAATTACACAGTACTTTCCGGGCTGTAATCTAAAGCGTTACCAGGATGTGAACGAAGCCACTGAGCAACAATACAATTCATTGTTGTTGTTTTCATCAGATATTTTGTGCATCTGCAGTAAATATGTTGTTTACAAGGTCTCATAAGTTGTAAACATTTTGGATGTTTAAAGTAATTACAAATAGACAATGTGAAAAAAAAAGTAAAACAAACTTTTTAACAGTACAATATTGCCTCTGTTTGCCTATCAATCCTTTGCCTATCAATACATGGTTGAATTTGTTTCTCTTCACCCTCCTGTCCGCTGTTCAGCAAGATAAAACAAGCACACATCTATTAATCTTCTACTCCACAAATACGATGGACAGTTCGGCTGGAGCAGAACACACACACTGGCGCTAATAACCCACACTAGCATGTCACCGTGTCTGCTCATCCTCTGGCCCGGAAATAACAGGTGAGTGGACAGGGATATCCATGCTGAATAATTCATAAAGGATATGAGCAGCTCTGCTCTCAATTTCTTTTCAAATCGCAGAAACGGATGTGCAAAACAATGTATTCTCATTATCGTGCTGTAAACATATTGATTTGAAAATGAGGTTCCACCCTACAGAATGAAGTTTGTTTATTTGGCAGCACAATGAGGGACATTGCTGTTTCTGCAAACGTAATTTATCCTGACATCCATGTTTGTGTTTAGGTTAGAGATTTTATGGGAACATTATGCCTTTTAGGAAATAAAAGCATATGATCTCGATGTGCTTTATACAAGCTACTGCACATCTCTCAGGAAAAAAAATATCTATTCTTGGATGTGATACTGCGCTGATAGTTTGAAGTTTACTCTCATAAATTTCTCAATTTATCTGCTGATCTGAGGAGCTGGAAAAAAACATTATCAAAACGCAAGCAAACAAACAAGTTTTGAATCAATTCATTCAAACACACAACTCAAACTGATTCTCAGCTTTTAAACAATGCTGAAACACTTAATCAGAACTTGAAAAGGAGAGTTACTGAATGCACGTCCTTCAGAATGTGTTTTGTACTGAAAACAAGATGTTCAGCCCCCACTATGTTGTTTGTTTGAGGTCAAACTGCATGTGATATCGGTGCCAGAATGATGCTGAGGACACCCACGGCTCACAGTGTGAACAGACAGAAATGTTTGCGTGCAG